TTCAGCTTCCCAGAGTGCTGGGATCACAAGTGTGCATTACCATGTCCAACCATCCAATAGATTTTTTTTTCTTTTTCTGGTACCAGGAATTGAACTCATGACCTTGTGCTTGCCAGGGAAGCACTGTGCCACTGAGCTAAATCCCCAGCCCCCCAACAGATTTTTAAAAGGACACTTTGAATATCCTCCTTTAGATGCATTACTCAATTCTGATGTTTGACTACCTGACCTCATTTCTCTTGCCCTTGATCTTTACTATGGTCTCTGTGTATCTTTTACCATGATCTTTAATACTATGTGAGTACTTTGATCTGACTGTGTGCTTCACTGGGTGCTGGTTGTGGCCGTCTCTGCTTTGAGTAGTCTCAGGACATAGCCCAGTTGGTGCCTGGGAGGGAGGACCTACAGGGGTGGGAGGAGAAGGTGCCCATGGGCTTTCTGCTGTCTGGATCTGCTCCTCTCTTTAGCGTACCCTCCACCCAGACACACGAGTGCCATTTTCCAGTCCAGGTCTGTGCAGGGGAAGAGAGGGCCTTGGGTGTCCAGTCTGAGAAGCTCTTAACACAAGGGATCGGCCTGGGGGTTGAAAATCCCTGTCACTGTGCTTGAAGCTCAGAAATCGCTAAAGGCTCAGGAGGCACAGACATGGGCTCTGAACGCAGACGCTGACAGTTCAGTCCTGAATCTGCCACTGTGAGGTTTGTTCTGTTTCTGTTTCCTCACTTATCAAATGGGCAGCCAGATAGCAACAACCAGCTTTGTAAGGTGCTTGTGAAGTTCTAAAGTGCAAATAAACGGGATAGACTTTGGACTAGATAATAAGCCATAATTGTCGTGCAATAACAATTTCACGAATACCCTACACATTTTGGTTTTGCCACTAACAAACCCAACTATAACCTCTCTTTCTCTCTCTGAGTTTTGACTCTTTGCTTCTAGTTGTGGACTGCAGTGTTCATGTTCACCTTCCTTGCCCAAACCAACCTTCTAAGAAAAAATCCAGTTCTCTTTCATCTCATGAATCTTTATCTTATTATGCGGATCTCTTACTGCGTTAGAACTCTACTTTTATGCTGCTTTCTTTTTTCCTCTGTCGGTTTTGGCCTGCTCTCGAAGAAGTGGATTGCAAACATTTCTGCCTTTCTGTTCAAGCTGAATTTCATATTTTCTGAATCATGAAGCTGCCCTCCATGTGACCTAGACAGCCCTTTGATGATCCATATTTAGCTGTATCCATCACTCAACAGATGTCTGGGTAAAGGCCCCCATGAGCTCCCTCTACATCCTGTGGTTTCAAGTTCCTGAGTTGTTAGTTAAAAAGCTTTCATCCCCCTGCCCCTCCTCCCACTCCAGGGTAGAAGGACAGATTCGCACTTTAGCTATTCATTCATTTGCTCATTTTACAAATATTTACTTATTACCTACTACATTCTTGAAACGGGGCTAGGGGTTATCCCCTTGGTTTCCAAATTACATTTTCCTAACTTGACCCATTTACAATAGTTATATTTTCTGGTGAGAACTGACAATTAGCATTCAATTAAATGATATCTTCTATCTGTAGTGTTCCTGCCCCCTGGGAGACTTGGAGGCTTAATGGCAAACTGATGCCTTGATATAATGCACCTGCTGTTGCATATGTAGATTTCAGGATAGCGCAGGTCCATTGTGGCTTTGCCTAAGGAGGTTTAGTTAGCAGCTGAGGCTACCTGACTCTGTTTAACGTCCTGTACCAGGGACATGGGAAATGAAGTGGTAACAAGACTAGAATGCCCAGCAAGCTAAGGAGATAATTTCCAGAACTCCTTAGTTTTCTTCGCCCCTGGTTTCCCACAAAGATACCCATGAGGGAAAATGCTTCTTTGCCTTTGGAGCACTCTGGATCTCCCCATTAGATAGCATCTCTTGGCATCTGAAAGGCAGCCTGCCATTCTGTTCTCTTGTGGAACACAGATGGCCCAGCCCACGCCTATCACTAATGAGGATCACACGCAGAGCCTCCTTGCTGGAGGCTCCCTTCAACAACACCAGCATTCCTTCCCCTGCTGCCTGGTCACTGTTGACCATGACATTTAAGCCTTAGAAGACTGTTGTTCTCCCACTCACTGAGCTGAACAAAACATGGATTAAGTACGTGCTGGGAAATAGGTGCCATCCCACTAGAACTTGAAGATACTGAGGATTAAGGGACGGCTGCCAATTGAACAGCAAGGGTGAGGTTTTGGGATCTAGCTGTCCATGGCGGCTGCTGAGTTTAAATATGAACAAGCACTGGGAGGTCTTCCGTAGAATATAATTAAATGGCTATGCAGAGGTTGAACAGATAGGATATCAATTTGTTAATGTTGTATAACTTCATCTAAGACACCAGTAGGGTTGGAAACGGGTAGGAATGTTGAGAGCATTAAAATATAGCGGAAAAAGCATAGATTTCGATGCAAAATAGACATGGGCTAAGTCCTGGTCTACTACTTGATAGCTGTTGGACCAGGCTCTTCAACTTTCTATGCACTAATTCCTTTGTCTGTGAGATAAGTACAATGCATATCTCATAGGCTGTTCTGTAGATGAAAAGGAATAGCACATAAAAAGATCTTGACATAGTACTGGCTCCTAGTAAGCAGTGAATGGGAGTTACCTTTCTTATCCCTCTTTCCTGTTTTCTTTCTATAACAGAATGTTGAAATATGCATTCCAATATGGTAGAACATCAGTTGAGCTAAAAGCAATGGCTCCGTATGAAAGTCTATATGATTCTGTTCTCCAGTTTTATTTAAAAATTGATTGATATTTGAGGTGTTGGGTAGGCTTTTTCCTTGCTATTTCATGTCTGATGTATGTCTTATATTTTTGACTAGAAGGCTTTCACACTGCTAATATGGACCCCAACAGAGGTGGAAACTCTCCTTTGGTTCTGATTCTGGTAGTCACCATTCCTTCAACTCTTAAGAGCTGGTGAGGACAGACCACGACCATCACCGGCTGCCCTGAGTGAGGCAGGTCAGTACTGGGTGTATAAGTCTGGTCTAACTGGTCAGTGCACACTGATCTAGACATTTTTCTTAGAGTCATTTATCATTCTCTCAGAAAATAAAGACTAACAAGTAATGCGGCTCAAAAGGAATGATTAGCTGGGTGTGGTGGTGCATGACTGTAATCCCAGCACTCGGGAGGCTGAGGCAGAAGGATCATTACAAATCGAGACCAGCTGGGGCTACAAAGTGAGCTCAAGGCCAGCCTGAACTGTGTAGGGAGACCCTGTCTCAAAAAGACAAAAAAAAAAAAAAAAAAGGAATGACTACATCTATTGATTTAACATTGATGATTACAAAAACAGTTTCAACAGCTTTTGGGGCAAGGGAAATCAGCTACTGCTTACTCTCTACCCAACCAGGTTAAAGCTTTTCCTGTAAGAGCAGGTGAATGTTCATCACCACCCAGCACTCAGACAGCAGCCCTTTCCTTATCAGCTCGGGTCCAAGAGTAGTAATTACTTGAACGAAATCCCACTTCTCTACAACTGTCTTCTTTAGATGTTGTTCTGCTCCCTGGGGCTACACAGATGGAAGTCTTAACCTGATACCAGTCATGTTTCCCCTCTACTTTGTCTTCTCAATAAGCCCCTCCCTGTCCCTCTCCCATTCAAGGAACAGAGTCCAGATGCTTGATCTTTGCTTGAAGATGTGTAGAGAACAATAAAAATAAAAATAAACCACAGAGAAGAAGGTGGCACATGCTTTGTAGTTCCAGTTAGTAGAGAGGCTGAAACAGGAAGATCGCTTGAGCCCACCAGTTCAAGGTCAACCTGGGCAACATAGGGAGACCTTCTCTCAAAAACAAGCAAAAGACAAAACAAACAATCAACCAACCAACCCCAAAGTGCCTGCAGGCTGGAGACTTCCTGTCCTAGAAAAGTACTACCTGGGATGTTATTGAAGAGAGTGGCTACTTGCGTGCTCCTATCTCCACTGAGAACAAATAAAGGTGGGCTGAAGGTGCTGCTGCCTAATCTACAGCTACCGACAAAGGACTCCATGGTTCTTTCCTACGAGTTCTTCGCGTTTCTCTATGTATCTCCTAGTAGGGGCTAGTACGTCACCATAGAACTTTTTTCCACGGAAGATTTTACGGATACTAGTTTTTGCAAGACAGTGTCTGGGATATTATGATTTCAGATATGCTACGAGGACTTAGACTAGATGTACGGAATACTTTTCTGATTGATTAGTATCACATTCTGGAAGTGCTGGGTGAGGAGTATGGTGCTTGCTTCCTTGGAGGGTTGGTAGACTTCCTCCTTCCTCCGCCTCTGCCTCCTCTAACGTTGGCATCAAGCGCCCACCTGCCTGGGAGTGCGAGGGGTAGGGAACCTGAGGGTCTGCATCCTCCCATCCCCAGGCTTCTGTCTTTATGGATCCTCACTGTTGCAGTGGTGCACGGAAGGCACAGCCTGGCTGGGACAGGAGGTAATTGAGAGTTTTGGCCAAGAGAAGAGGGGGCTCGAGATGGGAAAAGTTGATGCAATTATTTTTGGCAGGAGTTGGAACCAAAGCAGCAGGAGAGAGTAAGTTTTAAGACTCTCTGGCAAAGTAACTTCCTAATCTGTCACTGAGTATGTGTAAAAAAGTGATTAGTGGGTCTCTATATTTATCATGATTACTCACAAATATGTGATTTACATAATATATACAGCACATTAAGTACTATGTCACCTTATATAATGTGCATATGTATAATGTATATGCATGTTATGTAATGCCAGTCTGGAGGCTCTTCCAGGTTCTGCCAAGTAGTTCCTAATTTATTTGGCAATTTTAACGTATCTTTTCCATCTGTGAAAAGAACGCTCTTGAGAGAAGCTGGTCTCTGACCTGCATATAATCGTCATAGCGAGTCTATCTCCATTCTCAACTGACTGGGGAAACCCCACAAAGACCAAACCGTAATGAGATGCAACTCCTCGCCCATCAGTCCAGGGACAACACAATGCACTGAAGACCTGCTGTTTTACTGTTTTTATTGATCGCGGGGTGAGAGCACGAAGGCAGGTGAGAATGAACATGTCTATAGCACAGTAAGAATCAGAATAAGACAAGAAGTAAGGGACTGGGTTCTCCCTCGACTCCCTAAATGGGTGGCTTGGAGAAGTCACTAAGTCTCATTAAGCCTCATTCTCCTTGTTATGATTGAGATAACAATATCTTCTTTGCTAACCTCAGTTATTGCTGTGGGGATCACTCTGAGGAGGCACTTCACAGGGAGAAACCGCAGTCATGGTGTTTAAAAAGTGATTTGCCAAGTAAGATTAAACAACAACGCGAGACTTACTAAGGTTACTGAATCGGCAGTCAATGCACTGAAGTTTGTTCCACTGTGCTCCTGTAAGGGGGACCCGGGAATGTCTTTCCAGCAGTATTCAAGTTCTGCTCACTGGGTGGAGTAGATGGAAGCCCATCTTGGCATGGCCCCTGCATGAGACTTGTGTCTGAGAATAACTTCACCTGTTGATAGTATTGTGTCTCAACAGCCTCAATCTTGGGGGAATGAGGACTAAACTTTACATAAAAGCTCCTGTAAATGTCTTAGAATCAGGGACCCCAAATCTGAACCTGTCTCAGTTTCAGAACCAAGCGGCTTCTGAGGTGCTACCTGTCGTCATTCTGGAGCTTGCTGGACCCATCACCTAGGAGCCCATCAGGAAGGGTATGCTTTAGGTGGCCTGGTTTCGCTTTTCTCAGAGTTCAGCACTTGAATTGAGTAGGATGGTCCCAGATCTCAGTCCCAGATGGTCTTAGATGACTGCTTCCTTCAGAGGTAGACCCCGTTTGCATACACCATCTTAATATTGCCTTCCTTGTCCAGAGCTCCTGTCCCAGGGCAAAGAAACTAGAGGCAGCTCCATGGAGTGGTGTCAAGTGGGCCCAGGACTTGAGAAATCTGCCAGAGGGATGGAGGCCGACGTGAGCCCAGAGGCCAAGAAAACATTGCTTTGTGCCGATGAAGCTCTGCAGAGTTGGCCTTGGGAGAAGAGGGGGATGCCGGCACCATGTGAATGAAGCCTGCAGCACACCGAGACCCCTCTGTGCCGGGGGAGGCGTCCTGCACAAAGTGCTCAGTCCTCATGACTCTCTCTGAGGTCATGGTGCCTGCAGCCAGGGGACTTTCCACGCTAAGAGACTCTGGGGACCAAGAGGAGGGTCGCGCAGAGAGTTCATTTGGATGGTCTGTGCAATGCCTTTAGCTCAGAGCTTCAGCTTCTCCCCAGTTCAGTCCAGAGAGAGCTGGGAAGCCTTCCCAGGGCCCGGATGGCTTGTGTGAATTTGCCCTTCTGCACACGTGCTGCATGTTTGTTCCTCCCTGCAAACCTGGATCCGGGTAGAATCCCTCCTCAGTGACCAGGAATGACTCTACTCCCAGTGTGCAGGTTCCTTCCTCCAGTAAATATCTTCTCAGGGGCACTTCCTTTTGAACGTTAGGCAAAACACCATGGAGAAGCCGTGTCACTTTTCTGAGACTCAGTTTCCTTGTTTGACAAACGGGAGAGTAAATCCTGTCCAGCAGTGCTTCCATGGCTGCTTTGAGGACCCATAATCGGCGTTTTCTTCATGACAAGCCGCTCCTTTAATTCCCCTTACACCCTGTGGTTGGCACAGGGGAACATGTCTTGACAATGAAATGGCAAAGGTGGGTAAGAGCCTTCTTCTTCTTTCCCACTTTCTTTTCCCGTATTACCTATGCTTATTTCCAATCAGGAAAAGTCCATCAGTAAATAAATATTTATGTATTATATATAAATATACATGCTACATATATACATATGTAAGACCGTCCGAAGGTCCTTCGGGTCACACTGGGAGAACGGGAGATGCCAAGAGCACAGGGAACCACCCAGTGGGTGATTTCCTGGTTTCCCCAACAAGGTCCCTTCCTCCCGTCTTCTCTGCCTTCGGGAATAGACTGCCACCAGGGCTTGGAAGAGGAAACGTGTTTTGATCTGGGAGTGGGGGTGGGGCACAAAGAAGCTGGGATTTTTTTTTTCTTCTTCTTCCCTTTTTTATACACCGATTTGACACCGATTTGAAAAATAAATCCCAGTTTCTCCGCTTTCCCTCCCAGGTGTTCACAGAACTAAGAAAATAAATACCACATCTGAGATGTGCTGCGCAGGCAGCTCTGGAGCTCTTGGAGCCGTCTCTAAACAAACACTCAGCCACCAGGAGCGGGCCGGAGAAATGAACGAGTGCCCACTGACGGCGCGGGGCACCGAGCACGGAGAGGCAGCCCGGGGCAGGCGGCCTTTCTGCTGCCTCAGCGACTTCGGGGAGAAGTTGTCCGTCAAAGGGCAACCGAGAAACCATCGCGCGCTTGCAGAGCCCCGCCGAGGAGTCTGCTCGGAGGGCTGGAGGCCGCTGTCTCCGTACAGAAGGACCTTTGTGCAGATTCTCTGGAACGGAGCTCTCGGCCTTGACCACATCCGAGAGCTCACCGGGGGCAGGAGTCCTGCAGCCTGCTCCTCGTGGGCGTCGGCGAGGAAACATGCAGGGCTGGTGCAAAGAAGGGGCACGTTCTCTTTGCTCTCTGCAAGTCCTGCTCAAGGCCCGTGGGGGTGTGGGGTTGCTGCGGCCCTATGTATATTTGAAATGTCCCGTGGGACTGGTTCTGTTAGGGGTGTTTCGATTACTGAAATAGATTGCATGGCAAGGTGAAGTTTTCTTCCAAAAGGGCGGCTTCGCTGTGTGTGTGTGTGTGTGTGTGTGTGTGTGTGAGAATGTTACAGTTTCTTGTTCTCTGTCTTGGTTGAGCTGGCATTTGAGTCTAGTCTTTGGACCGGCTTTTCCTCCTCAGTGAGAAGAAGCTGCTCTTCTGGGGAGGCCCCATCATCATGGGCGCTTGGTTCTTGTGAGTAATTTTAATCTAAAAGCAAAGATACAGAAACGAATTAGTGGCAATGCAGACCCGCAGTACGAGGGACAAGAGTTGCCCAGAGAGGAACAGAGGGCAGCTTCAGGCTGGAAGGAGCCCCATGCAGAAGGACAACTGTCCTTGAACGGCTTCAAAATTGGCAACTTGACCCTGACTGGGCCTGGAGCTTGGCACTGCTGGGAGTGAGGGGCGGAAAGCCTGGGGAGAGACAGGTGTGAGCTTCCCACGTGGCGATCGGCTCGCACCTGTCTTGTGTCTCTGCTATTCATAGATTGTCAGAATGTCACAGCCGAAGGAGACCTTCTCGTTCAAGCCCTCTGTGGGATGGATGAAAACGGGAGCCCGGGCCCCACGGGGACTTAGGTTAGCCTGAGTTCACTCCCACTGGGCCGAACAGAGCCACAGAGCCCAGGTCGTTAGAGACCCGGGCTCCCTCCTGCCCAGGCAGTGGGACAGGTGTCAACGAGCTGACCTGGAGCTTGCAGTATGACCTCTGCCCAAGCAACAGCATGTGGATGGTTCCCAAGCGAGTCTCAGGTATTTCCTCTTTTCTTACCCCCTGAGGAAAACCCTACTTTCTCTGAAAACCATTTTAAAAAATTGAGGGTTTAAAAACATCCTGTCCTCTAAACTTTGAGTCAGTTCAATGAGAAAGACACTGGTTCTCAGTTTCGCCTTTCTTCCCAGCACTGTCCTCAGAACGTGGTCCCAAGATGCGTAATGCCTATTTGCATGTGGTCTTGTGACTGCCCCCTCAGTAACCTGTAGTATCCATCCATCAGCAGCACTGATCAGAGGTGACACATATTCAGGGTGGAGCAGATAATGCGGGAACAGGAGGCACGTAAGACTCAGAGGCCTGGGACTGACTTGCCCAAGACCTACACACGAGTCCCAGGACTCCTGCTTTTCTGCTGCGAAACTTTGGATGAATCACTTAACCTTCAGGGCTCGCTGAACTGTAAGTGAGGATAATAACATTTGTCCTGTTTTTATTTTCCCACAAAGATCACAGGCTGAACTGCCAACGAGAGCCCACTGTAAACTGTACAGTGGAAAGTAATAGTTAAACCCTTGTCGCTTTGTACTGGAGGAGAAGAAACAGAATCTATGAGCCCATAAATCTAAGAAGCCAGTCTGGTGGCTTTTACCACATTATTGGAACTGACAGTGTGATCACAGAAAACAGAAAAAGTTTTGAAGAGAGAGACAATGCAACAAGTGTAAGTAATGTAGGATAGACCAGATGTCCAGTGTGGCAGGTGGCTGGTGTAGGCGCCAGGCATGATGGTGACACCTATAATCCCAGCACTCAGGAGGCTGAGGCAGGAGGATTGGCTGTGCACTTGAGGCCAGTGTGGGCTACCTAGTGAGTTCAAGGGTAGCCTGGACTACATAGTGAGACCCTGTCTCAAAAGGACCAAAAAAAAAAGGTAGTGGTGGGGTGACAAGGTTGGGTTCCTAGGAGGTAATAGGGAGCCATGAAAGATGGCTGGAGAAATAACAGGGTGAGAAGGGGAAAAAATGAGAGAAATCACTGCACAGCTGTTGTCAGAGTGAGCAGATGTGGGAACATCTGGCTAAGAGGGTGCTACTGTAAGCCACCTTCGCGTTTACAGCGGTGTAAGAAATAACGCTGTGTAACGGACAGAAAAGGCAGGAACAAGCCATTGTGGATAATTCTACAGCTTGGAGATGGAAGCAGGTCCTTCCGTTAGCTTCCCATTGCCTGGAGGTCTCACAGGGGAGTGCGTGGCTTTGTGGTTGTCACCAGAGAAACCAACCAAGAATCCACCAAGCACCATTTTGTGTTGTGTGTCTTCTTGTGGGAGCTGTTTTGTTCCAGGGTCTTTGGAAGCGGGCTGGGGACTCCAAAGCATGTGTCAAGGGCATGCAGTTTAGCATGTGTGGGCAACAGTGATTTCTGGCACATTCCTTCGGGTGCCCCTCAGGTGCCCGTGGAGGAGGACTTTTGCTTTTTCACCTTGGCATAGCACCTGCTCAGAGCATGCTGGGGAGGGACACAGCCAAGGGTGAGAGCGCCCTCCTGGCAGTGGAGTGGCTCGGTTTTGGGTACAGGTGGCAGCTGGTGCTGACTGCATTGCCCGCTAATAGAGCTGTTCTCCTCTTCCTCCTCCTCCTTCTTTTTTTTATTTTAATAATAGAAGACCCGGGCTTCTCCTTTCTCTCCTTCTGGCTGAGCTTGTTAGTACCTCCAAGGCAAAGAGGAGGAAGTGAAACTCAAATTTCTCCTGGTTGGGTTTTCAGCACTTTTGACAAAGGTCTTGATAGGGCAGGACTTTGGAACTTTTGGGTAACATGATATTTTGGTCATATTTGTGGATTCTATTACTGTAGATAGCTGAGAGAAGTATGAGGTCATATCCTCGTTTTGAAGCAAAGAGATGTTAGTTCCTGAGCCCCAGTTTTCAAAGGGATAGTGTGTAAAATAGTAAGAAAGTAACCTGCTCTTTGATATAGATTTTATACATATCTTCTCCTTAATCTTCTAAATATTTATGTTGATTCTTGGCTTGTAAAATTTAAAATTGGTTAATATTAAATATGTCACTTTTTTCTTTGAACAGCCCTGCCCATGTTGTAGTTATAATAATCTATTTTCCTCCAGAGCTAATAATGTTGTTTTCTTTAATTTGAGCCTTTTTGTGTTCTGTTTTTTTTTTTTTTT